TCACTGGCCCTAGACATACCCTTTGCACAAATTATTACTTAATTAGTAAGATGTCAACATCCAGTCCTGGCATCATGTGAACTAGAGGCCTGAGGGTTAGAATCACAAAACTCTTAAGGGTTTATTTCCCACTGAGAGTGGTAAGAGCAGAAACCTTGAAGTTAGTTCGTAGGTATTTGCTTGCTGTTGCTCTTTGCCATTTTCCTCTGCCTGATTTCTCTTAGGTGACTGCACGCTTCCCTAGTATTGACTGTTCTGCTTTTCATGTGTGGCACTCAAAAAATGAGAGCTGCAGTGGTCTGGGTACACCCAGCAGAAAGGCAGCTCTTCCAGAATTTGTCCAGTGCCTCTCTGCAATAAGTGCAATTATAAATTCCGTGCAGACATTACCCAGGAAGCTTGTTATATAATCTGATGTACTTTGATGTGCTGCAGGCCCAGTGTCTGACAGATCCAGGACTAAGAGGCGAGAGGCAGTATTTCTCCTCCGTGTGTGCTGCAAGCGTTTTCTGTGCACGTGGGCTGGCTCTTGGAGCACATCCGTCGTGGCCCTCCAGATGTGCTCTAGGGTGGGGAGGCACATTTTAACCACGTCACGTGGCTGGGCTCTGAAACCTATTTTTCCAGTATCCCCTCCTCTTCATAGAACCATAGAATCACAGAATGCTTAAGGTTGGAGGGGACCTCTAGAGGTCATCTAGTCCAACCCCCTGCACACGCAGGGTCACCTAGAGCACGTGGCACAGGACTCCGTCCAAGCGGGTTTGAAGATCTCCAGAGAAGGAGATCTCCACAACCTCTCTGGGCAGCCTGTTCAGTGCTCTGTCACCCTCACTGTCAAGAAATTTTTCCTTAAGTTCATGTGGAACTTTTGATGTTTCAGTTTGTGACCATTACCTCTGGTTTTGTCGGTGGCCACCAGGGAAGAGGCCAGCACCAATAGTTGGAAACCTTAAATGATTTAGTCATGTTTGGAGAACTGTAAAGAACATGTTCATTGATATTGTACCAGAAACTAGAATGGATTAAAAGACACGTATATGAAGGGGGCAAATTTGGAAATGGCCAAATCCTTGATGCAAGCTATGGTCATACTACACAGCTGATTGGGTGACCTGGTGAGTCTGAAAAGTAACTCTCAGACAAGAGAGGTAACTTGTGGTATAAACAGCCTGACCTCTCAGCAGAAGAAAGAGCAGTAAGGAGGAGCTCCCCAAAAGCACAGAAAGCCACATCTGTAACATCAAGAATACCTGTTTTACTACTTACTCCTTCTTTAAAATGTTCTCTAGAATCAGTCCAGGATTTTATGGGGCTTCGTCACTGCGGAGTCTTTACAGTGCTATACCTCTTAACCTACTTTGGCTCTAACTGCGTCTACGCAGCAGGCAGCCTCATTCCCATGTTTTTGATGGTGCAGGTGGCTTCCCGTTTTTTTTTTTCTTTCTTTTTTCTTTTTTTCCAAGTGAAAATTTGTCCTTCATCGATTGAAAAGAACCAAACAGATGAAATTTTCTTTCTGATGGGAAATAATGAGTATTTCTTCCTAACCATAATCAAATTTGCACCACATTGTATTTGTTATCTAGGTAGCTTTAATGTGAATGGGTTTAAAAGAATAACTTTCTGCTCTGGAAAAGAGATGATTGGGTAAATTACTGGAACAGTTTGAAAGAAAAAATAGAGCTTCATTAGGAACCAGGCAGAAACAGCTGGTGCTATTCTGAGGGACCCATGAGAAGTGTTACCTAGAGCTGAACTTTGTAAGGAAACACACCTCAGCTAACCCTGAGTTCAAAGAGGTTCACAGATTGTGTTGTATTCCACAGCTTTTCAGCTAAAAACAAGCTGAATGGGAAATCTCCCTCAGAATTAATGTGGATGTGTTTTTAATCACATGGCATGTCTGTTTGCTTACATCAGCGACAAATTTCTCCATGCGTTGAATCACACCAATAGGATTACATCTATTTAACTGGTATCCTGATGATAACATGCCTGCTTCATCTCAGGGCCATGCTCAGTCACATGGGAGTTGTTTTTTCCAAAATTAACTTGGTGTAGTTGGTATTTACAATGGTATTTTTCCTGTTTCCTTAACCCCAAAGAACCCATATCACTGTTTGGAAAGAACAGTAGTATGAAAGGACTCAATTACTGGAAAATTGACAGTGTTTACAAGAAAAAAAAATGAATCCAAATAAACTGGTGATACATATTTCATACCTTAGAATGCAGCTATTAGATACTAGTCATTATTAGATTTTGAAACTGAAGTAATTTTCTGAACATAGTTTTTTCTACAATTAATGATAATGTTATGAAGATAAAAAGCAGGCCACTGTCAAGCACCACTTGATGATGTGTATAATCCTCAATGCAGAACTGTAGCTCACATTGAGCAAACAAAGAAAAACATAGAATCAAGACTCTAAATAATAACAGTGATTTTGCTGTATCCATCCATCACAGCTAATCACGTACATACCAAGTCAAAACTATAGGGAATGCAATTTTTCTTTATCTTCTCCCTCCCTCCCTCCCTTCCCCTTCCTTCCTTCCTCCCTCCCTCCCTCCCTCCCATTCCTTCCTTCCTTCCTTCCTTCCTGCCTTCCTGCCTTCCTGCCTTCCTCCTTTCCTTTCTTCTTTTCTTTCCTCCCTCCCTCCCAACAAGCCTTTCTATCTAGCAAAATGGAAAAGAGAAATTAAAACCACTGAAAACTGTGTGGGTCACTATAATGCAAATGAAATGAAAATGCTTGAAAAATATTGTACTACCAAGAAGAATAAATGAAAACTAAGCTAGTGCCAACTCACAGACTCCTACAGGATCCTTCTCAGAACTTTTTTCTTCTACACATGAAAAATAAGTCCATACTTTTTGAAAGCTTTAGTGTGGTATTTATAGAAGTCTTCATAACTCACCATGTGTTGAAGAGGAAGGAAATCAGCTTTAGGAAACATTGTAGAAAGATTTAAAAGTGTGGTAAACTCTTCAGCTATTCAGTTAAGTATTGAAGTTCAACTCAGCTAGAAAATAAGTTATTAAAAGACTGATTTTCAGTAAGATTATTCTGAAAAAAAAATCACATAGTGCCAGTAAGAAATTGCATGCACAAAGAATAGCAGATCATATTATGCTAATATCTTTCCATAACCTTTGCATTTTTCCTATTTTCAGTGAATTTTTTATTTTTTTGGCTGAGGGGATAGGAAGAACCTCGGGATTGTTGGGTTTTGCTTTTTTCTCTTTTAAAAATCACAGTTTAAACATTCAGGGGGTAAACTGGCCTTCAGTATACAAACCAGTAACAAAAAATTATGGTACAGTTACTCTTACAATAAACATTGTCCACTGCAAAGTGTCTCTTAAAAAATATGTTATTACATGTAAATCTGTTCTTTAATTGTGCAAATGAAAAGCCTAAAAATGTGATTTTTTCTAAATGACCCAGAAAGTAAAATATTTAAAGGACCCTTCTGTATCTTTAATAGTCTCAGGAATTTTAAGCTCATTTCATTTTGGCAATGCGACAGGTCTTTTCAACATTTAGGGCCAGCTGCATTTACTGTGTTGAGAAAGCAAAAGCAGTAGCAATGACAACAACAACAAAACCTCTTATTAGCAACAAATAAGGGCACAAAAAGAAGTCTAGTTTGGAGAAGTTGAAGCAAATTTGGCTTAAACAGCATTGGCTTAAACAATTAAAAAGACTTTTTAAAAACAATGAAGCAGAACCCACTTTGCTGACAAAAAAATATACCGCATTTCTTCAATGTCATTATTGAACATAAACCCTGGCACAACTGAGAACAGGGCACATCCTCCCTCCTCCTCTGGGGCAAAAAGGGGTTGTTTTGTCTCTCTCTAAACCTGGACGCCTCCGTCCCACTGCTTTGTTGGGACCCGCTGCCAGCAGCACAGCCTGGGGGCCAGGTGGCACACAGGGATCTCCGGCCTCTGAACAAGCTGCCTTATAGCTTGCTTGTAGCTTGCCTTGTCACTTGCCAGGCAGGCTTCTCCCTCCATGTATTGCTTAATTTTCTTGCTGTGTGGAAGCAAAAGTGGTAAATAATAATTCTGTTAAATATCAGAATAGTGACTTTTCATCTCCAGAAAGTGCCACCAAGTGTACATTCATCTTTGCAGCACTCAGTGTCTCACATCCTTGTGACAAACTCGTATCTGGTACCGAGTAGTATTATTATCTATTTTCCCCAATTTAAATATAAATAAGGAAATTAACTTTAGATTTTTTTTTTTTAATGTTAACCGTACTTATGCCATGTGCACATGCCCTCTAAAAAGGTTATTTGTACCAGTACAGCTTGGCAGAAATACAAATATGAGATACCATCATATTAGATTGCACAGTGCTGTTTTGGACTTTTTTGAATTCCTGTTTCTTCCTCTTTCCCCAACTCCTAAAATAGAAATAAAGCAGAAAACAAATCACTGTCCACTTAAAACCATTTCTCCTTACACTTTTTATCATAATTGTCTGCCAAATCTTTAAATAAAGGAGAACCTTTTCTCTTTGATGAGATGATGCCAAGTAATCCAGTCTTTCAGTCTGAGTTAAAGACTGTCAATCCATTGCAACACTCTTAAACTTAATACTAGCTGCTGACACAGCTGTTTCTTTGATGTTTAGTACCATAAAACTCCTGGGAATTTCAGCAGCAGCACTGATCTGTCCACTTGTGATACTGGAGATTGAAGAAGATGACGGAGACGGCGTCGCAGGAGGAAGAGGAGTTCGTTCCAGCTTGGCTGCGCAGTCGCTCACAGCCCTTGCAGGCGCGGAGAGCTCACAATTCCGGGCCCGGCAGAGCCTTCTGCTGTCAGCCCTCTGCCTCCCACCGGCTGCCTGGGAATTGCTGGGCACGGAGACACCCACTGTGGATACTGTTCTAGAAACTACTCTGTGCAGTGCCAGGCTTTCACTGTTGAGTCATTTCAGAGTTACCCCAGAAGCTGAGGCATTGCAAGCAGCTACTTTTAATGAAGATGAATTCTTGACTTTGATATGGGCACCTTTTGGGGGACCTGAGGGTCTCATTGGCTTGGGACCAGCTCTACAGGGTAAATAGCCTTCCCCTTCTTCAGTAAAATCAATTAACCATCTGTTGAACAAAGTACTTTAACTAAAGAAGCAAAATAGGTACTTCAATAAAAAGTAGGTACTTTTAAAAACATTGCAAAATAGATCAGCTGCCATCCACAAATCTGATTTTTCTTTCTGTTCCAGCATCATTCATTGTTCTCAATGGTTCATAACTGCAATCTGGTTTGACTCTATATCAATAGTACCAGCATTTTTTTTTAATTATGGAAGAAGCATTACATCTTAAAAAATGGTAGGTGATAATGTGCATAAAACTGCTACTTGAGAATGAATGAGAAGGAAACCTGGATGAATTGTAAGACAGCAAAATACTAAAAAAGCTACAGATTCCAACAGATGTGAAATACACTAAATACAATCTTATGTGTTTTACGCTTTATCAGTCTCAGTTATGTTTTCAAGCTTTCAGAACTAGAACAGAATAAAGGTGACCTTTCAGCAGTCTAACCAAAGGCAGTCAGTTTCTATCATGGTCAAATTTGTAGTTATGCTGTCAGAGATCACAAAATACTTCATAAAATTGGAAATGGAAACAACATAGAAAATTATTCATAATTACTCAGAGATCTAGATTACACACACATGCACACAAAAAAGGATTGTGCTGGTGAGGCATGTGATGCAAACTCCCTCTCGAAGGGTGTTCTTCAAGAGTCCAACATTGTCACCTCCTGGGGCACTCTCCAGCAGCTGACACCTGCATTTCAAGGGGACCTTGTACTGATGAGCTCACATGTGCAGATTCCAAGACTAAATAAATGCATTTGTTTTATTATGTTGAATGTCAGCTCTCAAACTGTGCTACCATGTAACTGTGCTTACAAGCAATATGTTCCTCAGGGCTTACTTGGGCAGCGTTCTCAAAAGCATCACTTTCAAATAACCACTGCTAGGGGATATTTTACATTATATCACACGTTGAGTGAGAAAAATGTTCACAGATTTTCTTAGAGTCTGGCAAATAATTATTCTTACTTTTCTGTAAAAAGTACTGCTGCTAAAACAGAAGAAAAAAAATCATCTACCTCTCCCTTCCCAGGCATCAAAAGCATCCATCATCTTTTTCAATTCTGCAGCCAAATAATAGCTCCAAATGTATTGGATATTATTTCCAGCTTCTCTAGAAACATTATTTAAAAGGTAAAAGTTATGCAATAGATCCAGTTAAGTCCTTAAAAATAACATTTAGAAATAACAATAAATGTATCATTGTTTTTACCAAATTCTAAATCTAAGGACTTATTAGTAAATGCTTTGTAAAGTAAATATGAAACTGTTACCTAAACTTAATTTTCATTTGTATAAAAGGTTCTATGCAGCCACGCGCCTCTGGTCTGTGTGCCTGTAAAACACACTGCTAAAAATGGGCATTCATCAAAAAATGGATGTTTAGGAAACCGTAAATCCAGAATTAAAGGTGTAAAGTCTGTTCTCTTCAATCTCAATCATATGTTCTGTGGGAAAGCCCACTACCACCCTAAAAATGCATCAATGCTATGGTAGAGATGCACGTGTCTTTTAAAGAGCTGCAAACATTTCCCTTCATCATCCTTCCTTCTGTGTCACATATTCCTTCTAGCTGTCTTAGAAGACTGCAAAACACAGCTCTATTAACTACTACAAACTCTGTAAATATTTCTCCAACTTTTTTTTCTGGATGGGGATTCCTCTCCTGTATTTAAAGCAAGTGTCACCTCAATTAGAATCATAGAATCATAGAATGCTTAGGGTTGGAAGGGACCTCTAGAGATCATCTAGTCCAACCCCCCTGCACACGCAGGCTCACCTAGAGCACGTGGCACAGGACTGCATCCAAGCGGGTTTGGAAGATCTCCAGAGAAGGAGGCTCCACAACCTCTCTGGGCAGCCTGTTCCAGTGCTCTGTCACCCTCACTGTCAAGAAATTTTTCCTTAAGTTCCTGTGGAACTTTTGGTGCTTCAGTTTGTGGCCATTACCTCTAGTCCTATCAGTGGCCACCACTGAAAAGAGAAAAAATTAAAATGTAATTTTAAACTGAAAATTTAAACTGAAAAAATTAAAATGTAATTTTAAAATGTTGGAACATTTTTAGAATAGTAGTTGGAATATAATGAGAACTTAAAGTAACTGCATGCTAGCCACATTTTGGACTCTAATTTTTGTACTTTGTGCTTAGTTTTGATCTTCTCTTCATTAAATTTGAATATTGTATTAGCCAGGTGTTTTCAAAGTAGGAAAGAGTCTGATTACCAAGTATAGTACAATAATGCTAGATGGATCATTAATATTAGCAGTTAAATAATATTAATATCTTGTTAATTATAAATATCAGTGCTTCTTTTTAATACTTAGATTTCACACCTAACTTCACAGTCTCATTCTGTAGTGCTTTCAAGCATCTGACAGTCATCTTACCTTTTGTAAATACTTTTGTTATTAATTTACCTTCCCAGCTCCTCATCAACTGCATCAGTTCCATCCGCTCTTGTTGCATACACACCAATAATCTTACTTTCACAGCTTGCTCCAGAAGTATTGAGATAGTGTAGGACTCAAATGGTAGGCTTGGTGCAGACTAAATCATAGGAATCACAGAAATCTAAAACAGCCTGGAAAAAAAAAAAAGGAAAACACCAAACATTAAATATCAACAAGAATAAATTATCTTAGTTGAGTAAATTTTAAATAAATCAAAGACATAGCTTATCCAGAATATTATGTAAAGTATTTCTTAGCTGATGTCAAGGGAAAACCTTGAAAATCTAGAAGAAACCCGG